ATAGATAGATACATAAATAGATACATAGATAAGTCTATACAGCACGAAGGAATATAACAGCTAATTAGTCCACACAGCAGTACAGAGGGCTCAGGTCAACTCACTTCCATGAAACAGTTAATATGCTGGAAGTCCTTCAATTCACAAGGGCTCCTGAGTCCAAGGTCAAGGAAGCAGACAGCTGAGTCTTCCCTTGGGCAATGCAGGCAGAGTTCACCCATAGCAGGGCGGGTCACCAACAGTCAGCAACTCAGGATCTTAGTGAATCAGGGATGCGATGTTGAACTCAAGCAATGCAAGACGACAGAATCCACCAGCTTCATGCTCTAGTGATGTACACACCAGCAGCGTGGTGAAGCAGGTTTCAAAGGAACCTCAATCTCTAGTGACATGATGCACAGGTTGGCTTGTCCTACAGGTGGTGTAGCTCACAAGTTGAGGCAGAGAACTAGGTAAAGCAGCCGCACACCGATCCGATCACCAGACAGCAACAGAGAGGGGGTGGGCCTTGCTGAGCCATTTATCTGTTTGCCTTCCAATCAAACCGCAACCTGATCAATCCCACATGTTCCTATTGGCCATATTGGCACAATGAAACTACCTTTACAGGTGCCATGGAGTTGTCTCTGACCCAGAGTGACCTTGTGCACAACAGAACAAAACAATGTTCAACCCTGCACCATCCTCACAATGGTTCCTATGCCGGCACACACTGATCCCGACGCTGCCAATCCATGTCATCAAGGGCCTTCCTCTTTCTCGCCACCTCTCCACTTTATCAAGCATGATAAAGTCCTTCTCCAGGGACTGGTCTCTCCTGACAACACATCCAAAGTCTATAAGGTGAAGTCTTGCCATCCTTGCCTCCAAGGGGTACTCTGGCCCCACTTCTTCCAAGACAGGTTGGTTTGTCCTTTCGGCCCTCTGTGGTGAATGCAATCTTCGTCTCCAACACCACAGTTCAAATGCCTCAAAATTCGTCTGTGGTCTTCCGTAGTCCCTAGTCCAGTTAAACCAGAGAAACACCCCCAGGAGACTCGTATGTGCATAAGAAAGAGTTTTATATAAACGAGCAATTGCAGCAAACTATCTAATGTAATGCATTTTTTATCTCTTGAGTGCGGCTTCAATGAGTACTGATTGTGGATCCAAGCAAGACAAAAATCCTTGACAACGTCAACCATTTCTCCATTTATCATGATGTTACCTTTGGTCCTGTTGTGAGGATTTGGGTCTGCCTTACATTGAGTTGTAGTCCAGAGTAAAGGCTACAATCCTCGATTTTCATCAGCAAGTGCTTCAAGTCTTCCTCGTTTTCAGCAAGCAATGCTGTGCCATTTGCATACCAGAGATTGTTAATAAGCCTCTTCCAGTCCTGATGTCACACTCTTCTTCATATAATCCAGTTTCTCTGATAATTGTATCAGCATATAGATTGAACAAGTTGTGGTGAGAGGACACAGGCCTGATGCCCGCCCTTTCTGCTCTGAACCCATGCCGACATGATAGCCTTGTTCTGCAGTTGTACAACAGCCTCTTGATGGATGCACAGATTTTGAAGGAGTGCAATGAAGTGTTGTGGAAGTCCTATTCTTCTCAAGGTTATCCACATTTTTTTATGATCCACGCAGTCGAATGCCTTTGTCCAATGAAACACAAGTAAACATCTTTCTGGTATTCTCTGTTCTGAGCCGAGATCCATCTGACACCAGCAAGAATGCCTCTTGTTCCACGTCCTCTTCTGAATCAGGCCTGAACTTCTGGCAGCTCCCTGTCAATATGTTGCTGCAACCGTTGTTGGGTGATTTAAGCAAATGTTACTTGTGTGTGTGAGATAGTTACAGTTTATTGTGCCAACCTGGCTGATAAACACATGTGGGGTTGATTGAAGGGCTGAGAGATAAGTGGTTCAGTGTGCCTCGCCTTTCTAGTTCTCAGGTCTCTTGCTTTGTGATAGTCGGACCAGGGTGCAGCTGCCTTAGCCAGTTCCCTGCTTTGACTGGCAAGGGTCACTTCCTGCAAGACATTCCCAAGGAGAAGCCGCATGGACCTACCCCGATGCAGCCCTGGGTGCTGGAGCAGCCGTGTGGAGACCCCTGCCAGCACTGAGATGCTTACAAATTCACTGACTTGGCTTTCCTCTTGCAGTCGGCATCATAGTATGTGTTTTGTGAGATGGAGGAGGACTTTGTGGATTGGGGTCGGACATATGGGCTAATGTTGGACTTGTGGGTTTGGGCAGCACTGGGTTGGGATGTTTTCTTGATGTGCACTTACCCTTTATAGAAGACTCTCTTATACATATGAGTTTCTGTGGATTTGTTTCTCTAAAGTACCCAGACTGACACAGTGCGATATCAATGATTTCATTCTATAGTGTGAACATCCTGTTGGGTCACTTTTCTTTGGAACAGGCACACATATTCCAGTCAGTTGACCAAGTAGCTGTCTTCCAAATGGCCTGGCATAGAGGAGTGAGAGCTTCCAGTGCTTCTTCAGCTGTCTGAAACGTTTCAGTGGATAGCCCGTCAGTTCCTGGAGCCTTGTTGTTGGCAAACGCATTCAGTGTCATCTGAACTTCTTCCTTTGGCACCTTTGACTCTTGATCATATGTTACCTCCTGAACGGGCGAACAATAAACTAGTTGGTTTTGGTGCAGTGACTCTGTGGATTCCTTCCCTCTTCTTTGGATGCTCCCTGCATCATTCAGTACGTTGCCCACAGAATCTTTCAAAATTGCAATTCGAGCTTGCATTTTTCCTTGCGTTCTTCCACTTTCAGAGATGCCGAGCATGCTCTTCCCTTTGGGTTTTCTAATTCTAAGTCTTTGCACGATTTGTTATGATATTTGATTTTGGCTTCTCGTGCTGCCCGTTGAAATTTTCTAGGAGGAATGGCTCTGAGTATTGCTGAGAACAGAACAATAATAAGGGCTTGCGAACCCCTTTCCTCTGAGTCTGAGTCATTAGCATATGACAAGCTTCACCAGTACACTTGCCAATGCTTCACATCAAAGGTCCTTAACCTCGTAGCCCTTAAAATCAAAAGTGAAAACTCCATCAGTGTTTCTCGGCTGCAGTCTTTACAGACACAGACTACCAGGCCTTGCTTCTGCAGCACTTTATTTAGATTCATGCCACTAAGGGGTTTTCTTAGTCCTTAAGAGATTGGAACATTTTTATTCCTGTAAGAGGTTGACTCTCAACTCTCTATTCCATAAAAATTCCTTCTAGAGAAGAAGCAGATGACTGCTATTCCAAAGTTATGGGATTGATGGTCATTGAACTTGAGTTAGGATCGCTTACGTTGAGAGTGCTCCCTGACAGGTAGCCCAGGACTGTCATACAATCACTATATCGATGCTCTCCTTGCTTTCTTATGACATGGATTAATCTGGAAGGCATGGTTCGGCCTCTATGAATTAGTGGTATTGAAAGTTTTGCCCTATCACCAGCCCCAACTGTGCATGTAAATCGTGTCCAGTCACTTAAGACTTTAATCTGTACAAGGCAACAATTCATGTATTACAGTCTGAAGCCAGCCTATATTTGTATAATTTCCTTTTCTCAATAGTGTTTTAAATTCTATACCATTGCCTGAATTAAGGATACTAACAATAGAATTATCTTATGTCCCAGGGGGAATGATTCATCATGTTCTCCATCATAAAACGATAATGATGTCCCTAACGTGAACCAGAGAGAGAGATACAAACCATAGCTACATGAATGGATTTGGCATTCACACTTAATTCCAGTTTTAATTCTGGACTCTAAGCCTAAAATCTAAGAGCAATTAGTTCTTCGGGCAGGACCTTCCTGCATACTCTCCCTCATGAAGAGATCACTGAAGATATGGGTGCTACAGCAAAGTGTGGTCAAGAAGCCATTTGGTGCCCAGCTATCAGAAATAACAGTATTGGGGGTCTTAAAGGCCTGTCTTAAAACAAACAGCCATCTAAATGAGGCATCAACTAAGTTCACATGGAAGGAGCATGCTAACCTGTGTGGTCCAAGGATTGTGAATAAAATAATCCAAATCCAAAAGAGGGAACAGTATCAGAGCTGAAACTGCGAACACCTGGTTTGCAGAAGGCTATGGATGACAGTGGAACCCTAAATGCATTTGCAGGGTCCCCACATGGATCAAGCCTCTGGTAAATCCACTCTGACCATCGTCTAAGGGTGTGAACAGCCTCGCTGTCAGATGGACAGCATGGTGAAGGCAAGTGGGCCTGATGGAGTTAGGTTAAAATGTAATATCCTGTCATTGGATCTTCCTTTTGGCCCATGTTAAAGTTGATCCACTTGTTAATACTTTCTGCTTTCTTTCCTATTGAGGTTTTTCTGTTTTGTCTAGTCATTGTTGTTGGGTTTTTTAGTGCTGTTGTTCACTTTCCGTTTGTGATTTATATGATTTTCTGTACATGAAATCCAGGATAGGTAAATGGCTTAATAACAACCTAGGGACATGGCAAGAGAGGATGGGGTCAATGGGAGCTCACAACAGAGAGAAGAAAATGTTCTGAAATTCATTGTGATTCAGGATTGCACAAATCTTCATATGACTGAACGATTATGCGTGTGATAGGTGAAGTATATGCCAATAAGACTATCGTTTTACATCCCCACTAGAATAATCTGAAGGAGCTCTGGGGGCACAGTGGTTAAGCGCTCGACTGCTAACCACAAGGTCAGTGTTCCAACCCACCAGCCATTCATTCCACAGAAAGATGTAGCAGGCTTCTTCCATGGCAAGGACAGCCTTGGAAACTCCCTGGGGCAGTTAGACTCCATCCTACTGACTCGCTATGAGTTGCAACTAACCTTTTTCCTCAGCGCTCCCTCCCGCCAACTTGCTGCAAATGCTGGACTAGCCCGGGAGGCGGGTCCTGCTTGCAGGCCGTGCTGTGATGTGGATCTGCTTGCCCTCCAGGCACGAGGAGGACGTCCAGCACTTCAAGGTCATGCGAGACAACAAAGGCAACTACTTCCTATGGACTGAGAAGTTTCCCTCCCTGAACAAGCTGGTGGACTTCTACAGGACGACGTCCATCTCCAAGCAGAAGCAGATCTTCCTAAGGGACCGAAGCCGAGAGGACCAGGTACGCTGGTGAACAGCTCCCCCACGGGTCACTAAGAGAGTTCATGGGAGGGGCAGGTCCTCCAGGTATTCTGAAAGGTAAAATCCTCTAGTCAGGGGGTTCTCGCTGAACCATTAGCTTCACGCCTCCAAGCTATGGGACTCAAGCTCCCTGCTCTTCAACTTCCTCATCCAAAGCAGGAAGAGTGATAATAAAGTGTCTATCTCGCAGCGAGGCTGTGAAGCTCAGAGATGATGTCCTCCAACCCGTGGCATTCCTCCTAATCCTGCTTTCCACACCCCGTACATGAACTCTCACGTGGATGCTCTTATTTTGTCCAGAATCCCCGGTGGTGCAGTGGGTAAGGCTCTTGACTGCTCACCGAGAAGTTGTAGGTTCCAACCCACCAGCAGCTCCGTGAGATAAAGGAAACAAAACGATCTGCTCCCATCAAGAGCGTTGGTGTCATCGACCTCTTCACAAGGTTGTTGGTTTGAACCCACCTGCCGCTCCTCAGGCGAAAGATGAGGCTGTCTTCTCCTGTAAAGATTTAAAGTCCCAGAAACCCAAATGGGACAGCCCCACCCTGTCCCATAGGGTTGCTATCAATCAGAATCAACCCAGTGGGAGTGAGTTTGGATCTTCTCCCATAAGACTACACAAACCAGTTGCTATTCCATTGATTTCCATTTATAGCCACCCTATGGGTCTGCCAGAGTGACTTTCTATACAGAAGCAGGTTGCCACGTCTTTCTCAAGCAGCGCTGGTGGCTGCCCAGTGTTTAATCCTTTGTGCCACCAGGGTTTCTTCTTGTAGAGATGACAGCAGTTCATCTACTCCACAGGGTCATTATGCGTCCGAATCAACTCCCTGGCCCACATGTAACCACATTGGTTGTATGTTCAATGCAGCCTAGATTTAGGGGCTGCCCATGGAGGAATGACTTAGAGGCAGGGAGGGCTGGGGCGGGAGTTAGCAGATACACATGAGACAGCAACCTAGAGTCCAAGCAGACAGTGAAGGAGTAAATTTGACCTGGAATGCTTGTTCTTAGAGCTATCTAAAACATAGACTGTTGTTGTCATAGAAAATGGCTAGTATTCGGATGACGTGGGCCTGACCTTGAATCCTGATGTCATGTCTACAGCCACATCTTCCCTGGCCAACTGTCAAACCCTTTCTGAGTATTGTGTTCCCTCTACAGAGTAGGGATTCTAAGAAGGCCTCCTGCCTGGGCTGTTGTGAGAGCGGAATGAGATCACCCACTGACCGCAATGGACACAGGGTCTGAGCCTCAAGAGTTGACCTTGACCCCAGCCCTAGCTCCACCATGGGTTGCTGAGTGGACCCTGTGATCCTTAGGCTTTTCCCCGGCTGGTTTGTGAACATCGATGGCCGGGTCTTTTCTTCCGAGTTTGTCTTCGTCTGGAAGTGGCAGGGCCATCGCAGTGCGCCCAGCTCTGCAGACAGAGGTGGTAGAGGCTGTGCACGCGGGGCAGCAGCGGGGCAGCTGACCGGAATGGAAGCATCTGAATCGCCAATGTCCACCCCGGCTCACAGTCCAGGGGCCATTGAGGACAGGTCCGTGTGCCTCCTATGAGTAAATCCATGCACACACAATTGAGAACACATTTTCACAGGAAACACCATGACTACGGAGGGACAGGTTACCCTAAAAGTTGTTGAGATTTTGGAAACCACACATGCGTTCGGGAAATAAAGACCCCTCCTCCTTCGGGCCCTTTGTTGACTTGAAGCCTGGGGCAAGAGAACGGAAGGAGAATTCGGTGTTCCCACCCCATGCACCCAACAGTGCAGCTGGAAGACCAAGTCACCACGGGCCCCGTGGTCCCTCCCGCCCGCCGGGCCACCACGGATCCTCGCGCTGAGATGTGGGCTCGACAATGAGGAGAGCAGCAGCGAACTGCCTGACACAGGATTTCCAAAAAGAAACAAAACAAATTCATTGCCCTTAGGCCAATTCTGACTCACGGCGACCCGACCCCATGGGTTTCCGAGACTGTAACGCAGTACAGGGGTAGAAAACCTCCTCTCTCTCCAGAGGAGCACCTGGTGGTTTCGAACTGCTGGCTGTGGGGGTTAGCAGTTTAACTAAACACGGAACTCGCTGAACTACTGGGATCCTTAAACCGGATTACATGACTTAACGCTTCCTATGCGTTAAGGGACAGGGCCTGGCACATGCGAGCTCCAGGGTCCCGTGAGTGCTTGTACAACAAAAACAACAGGAGCGCCTTCCCGAGTGTGAAGTGGAAAGGCCTTGTTCTTTCCCAGCACGCCCTGAGGCAGGCCTGGTTTCCATGGCGCTGTGGGTAGGTGGCTGTGGGGGTCTCTATCACCCGGCACAAATGACACTTTGCAGTCATACAAAGGCAATAGCCAGGCTTATCGGGAAGGTAGGGGGTCCAGCAGGGTGGCAACATGCGATAAGAAGGCGAGGGCGTTGTGTCCAGGAAACGGCATATATTCAAGCTTGGTTACACAGAGAACAACAAGCCTATTCGGGTAGAACTAAGTGATCTCCTGAGAACCTGGACTCCCCAAACTGGGAGGGAGGCGCTGGGCAGGCAGAGGCCTCGTGGGAAGATGGGTCTGACCCATCGACTCTCCTGCACTGCACACACACACACACACACACACACACACACACACACACCGAGCTACAGTGCCAGGAGATCTGGGATAGACAGATTCTAATCATCTTGGCTCCTTTTCCTAGGGTCGCCGGGGCAACAGCCTGGACCGGAGGCTCCAGGGCAGCCCACATCTCAGTGGGGCAGAGGGAGAAGAAATCAGGCCCTCGATGAGCCACAAGCTGTCGGATCAGCCGCCTTCCCTGCCCCCACAGTACCCGCAGCAGCAGCAGCAGCCTCCCCAGCAGTATCCCCAGGCGTCGCAGCCCCCGCAGCAGCGCTATTTCCAGCATCACCATTTCCACCAGGTACCTCCAGATGAGGAGGTGGGGCACCATGGAGTGGGGAAGGGACCTGCCTCGGGCCACCTGATCCCCACTGCCACAAAGTGTTTGAAGACACCCCCCAATGTTGCAAAGAAAACTTAGGGTCTGTTATAATCCAGGAGGGCTGGGGTGAGGACAACTGGTGTCTCGCCTAGTCTCACCAGGTCTGGTCACTTATGGAATTCACCAAGAAGACCTCCCAGCCCACACCATGGCAGATTTGTGGACGGTGCTCTTGGCAAAGAAACCTCTGCGTCTGAAGGCTGCCCGCCTGAAAACACACACGTAAACGCACACACACTTACCGCTAAGACTCAGAGAGCAATTTGTTTCCCCAACAGCACAATTCCAAATATCTTCATGCCCCTTAACCTGTCTGGCTGTGGCGAGCCACAAGAAAAAAGGATTAACACCCGCCGGCGAGGCCAGCTTATTTATTTATCCCCTGCCTTGTTCCAGAAGGGATTGTAGGCGGCTTACGGAGATGGACAATGTAGCCAGATAACATCACTCCTAAATTCCTTAGCGGGGCATATAAACCCCCTCGTGAGCTCTCTCCCCAGCCTCCTCGCCTGCTACTCGCCACTTCTCAGACACAAGGATACCTTCAAGCCACAACGGGCTACTGTCGGCTCCCTCCACGGCCCAGGCTTCTGGGACTTTGCATACACGTGTACCGTTTGCCTGGAATGCCCTTCCCTGACTCGTCCTACAAGTACCACCTCCTCTGTGAAGGCTTCCCAGGTTACACTGACTCACTGCAACACTGATCTCTCTCTCTCACACACACACACACACACACACACACACACACACACACACACACACGCACACACACACAGTGACCCCATGGGGGTTTCTGAGACTGTCATTGTTTACAGCAGCAGAAAGCCCAGTTTTTCTCCCACGAAGCTGCTGGTGATTCCGAACGGCCGACCCTGCGGATCCAGCCCCCCTCGTAACCACGACCCCACCAGGGCCCCCTCCGATAACTCCACTTTATCCTGGATTATGGACTAGAGTACAAACGTTTTTTAAATGCCAGGAGGACATTTGAAATAAGTTGGGGAACCTGTGCTAGGCAGATGTCATGTCCCCTCACAGCCACCCCACGGACAACAGAACCAACACTCACCACCCTGCCTGAGCCGGTGGTCGCCGCCATCCATTGTCCATGCAGCTTGTTGAGGGTCTTCTTCGTTCTCTCTGACCTCTTGCCATGACCAAGCACGCTGTCCTCCTCTAGGGAACACATTCGAAGTACGTGAGATGAACTTTGCTTCTCAGGAGCACTCTGTGCTTCTTTCAAGACAGCTTTGTCCGTGCTTCTGGCGGCCCACACTGCTTTCTTAGTCGACCTTCTTAGTCAACACCATCATTCAAATACTTCAATGAATCCTTCTCCAGCTTTCATTATTCATTGTCCGGCTTTTCCACCACACAGAGGAGGTTATTGCGAGTCCTGTGGCTCCGGTAAGGAATACCTTCGTCTTCAAAGCTCTTCAGGGAGGTCCGGTTTGCCTAGTGTGAGACGTCATTGGATGGGTTGCACTGCTGCTTCCATGAATGTTGAGCGTGGACCCAAATGGATGAAATCTTAGACGACTTCGGTCTTACCTCTGTTGGCCACGATGTTGTCCATCGGTCCAGTTGGGAGGAACCGGCTGGACTTTGCAATGAGCTGCAATCTGTTCTGAACTCTGCGGTCTGTCCTCTTCATGAGCCAGCGCTGATGAAGCCGAGACTTTCTCTTTCCAAACAAACGCCCGGATCCAGACGGGGGCATCATCAGTCATTCTTGGGTGGACAAGTGAAGCCTCCCCTCAATCAACTTTGCTTTCAAAATCAAAGGTCCCTTTGCCTCTCGCTCTTGTTGTTCTTATAAGGTTCCATGGAGTCAGCCCCCCCACCCCGTATCAGGACAACCGGGCCTACACACAATGGAACATGATGCTACTTGGGCCTGCGCCATCCCGGGAGCATTTGAGGACAGAAGCACTTTGAGATATTGACCCTTTGTTCTAAATCTAGGGAAACACAGCATTGCTAATGTTTCAAGTGGAAAGTGAGTTCCATGAGACCCTTTGATCCTGAGGGCTGTCGTTAGCTGGATTCCCGTTCTTGTTGTTGTTGTTTCAGAAGTACCTTAGGCCTTTTGTCTCAGTCTGCCTTTCAGGCCTTTAGTCTAGAAGTGCTGTTGAAACCTATTGATCACCACAGGCACACACCAGGTTCCACTGACAGGCGGGTGCATTGGCCAGGACTGGAGCCAGGGCTCCCTTACTGAAGGTGAAAATTGTATTACTAAACCACCCGTGTTCTCCATGTTGTGGTTGTCAAGTGCCCTGGAGACCATGCCACCATCTATCAGCCTTATCAGTTGAGTCAGACTGGCCCAAGTGGGGTTTTCTACGCTGTCATCACCATGGAAACAGGCTGTCAGGCCTTTTCTCCCATAGAGACACTGGCAGGTTCGCACCACAACCCTTTCCAGTCAGCAACCAAGTGCATCACCCTTGTGCACCCAGGGCCTCCTGCTCTCTCCATTACCTGGGGTTGATGGTCACCGCATCAACGGGTAGTCCCGTGGCTTCCAAGCGAAGCTCTAGGGGGGGTGCAAGATGCTTCTGACTGGGTGACAGGTGCTCCACACGCCCTCTGTTTCCAGGATCGCCGCGGTGGCAGCCTCGACATCAACGACGGGCACTGCGGCTTGGGCATAGGCAGCGAGACGAATGCTGCCTTCATGCAGAGGAGGCACACGGATCCCGTACAACTCCAAGTGGCAGGGGTATGTGAGCACCCACCCCCACCCCGCCACCTTGGGGCTCTCTGGGAAAAGGCCACCAGAAACTGAAAGGCAAGGTGGGGGATTGGAGAACCGGCTAGTCTCCCAGGAGAGGCGTCAAACTGTGCTGAGATCAAAAGGGATGGGGTGGAAGAGAGGTCAGGAACCAAGCTGCCCTCTGCCTGGCACCTTCCAGTCTAGTCTCACTTTGCTTGTGGGGCCTGGCCCTGCTGTCACATGTCTCCTGGTGAGAGAAAGTGCTTGCTTTGTAGCGTGGGCCACCTCCATTCAGTTGTGCTATCACCAATGCCTGTTCATCCGGTGCCAGCCTGTCACACAAGGAAAATTAAAAATACCATCTATTGATGTGGAGAGTAGACCACCAGGATGTGCTGCAGGCCTTAGAGAACCTTAGCATCTCTGACCGCCAAAGGTCCTGAGCCTCAAACATGGCTCAGGTGAGTTATGGGGACTTCGTGCTCAGGGCCGAGCATCCTGGCTCTGCTTTAAGCTGGGAGCGTGGTCACATGTCAGCCTCCTTCAGGGAAGGTTGCCCTGAGAGGACTTGATACGTGGGGCAAGCCACCAGGAGGTCCTCCTCTGTGGCTGGAGGCCTTCCCAGCCAGCCAGCCACCCATGGCTCAGGCAAACATGTGTCTTCCCCTCCCACAGCGTGTGCGGTGGGCCCGGGCCCTGTACGACTTCAAGGCCCTGGAAGACGATGAGCTGGGATTCCGCAGCGGAGAGGTGGTGGAAGTCCTGGACAGCTCCAACCCATCCTGGTGGACGGGCCGCCTGCACAACAAGCTGGGCCTCTTTCCTGCCAACTACGTGGGCCCCGTGATACGTTGAGGCTTGCCAGGGAGGGTCAGAGGCTTTTGACCCGAAGCTGCCGGCAAGACGTGGGAGTAAGGCCAGAGGCTGGACTAGATACATTCATCTATGCAGACACACGATGTTCTAGGACAGTAATTTATTGGTAATTTTGTTGATTGATTCCTATTTCTATTCCCCATGTGAGTGTGCAGGAGGCAGTGGGGGCGGGGGGGATGCAGTGAGGGGGTGGTAGGAAGGATGAGGGCAGGGCAACGAGAAGCCCTAATTCTCCCTGTCCTTAAGATCTCACCATTTCCTCCCTGCCCGGGGAGAGCCCCAGCCCCAGCGTTGGACGCAGAATGGCAGGGCGGGGCGGGGCTGGGTTGGGCATGTTTGCGCTTACCTGCAAGCCACAGTCACCTAGAGACTTTGCAGGTCAGCTTCCCTCCTCTTCTGTAAAGGTGGGTGCTGCTGGGTTGAACATGAAGGTACAACAGGCTAGCTACCAAGGTAGGGCTGGGAAGCAGGGAGGGGTGGGGAGGCAAAGGCGGGTGGCGGGCGTCCCAAGGCCTGTGGGGGAGGCCCTGCCGCCGCCTCCCCTCCCCTCCTGGCAGAGACCTTCATCTCTCCTCCGTGGAATGTTCTTTGGATAATCCTCACCTCTCCCCGCCGACTGGCATGCGAGTGTGGCACCCAGTGAAGAAATGTTGACGTGTCCCCAGCTCTGAGGAGCGCACAGTGTCCCAGCATGTAGCTGTGAAGGCTAGATTGGGAGAGGGCAGCAGTGGACTACAGTTGACGTTCCCTCAGACGGGCTGCCTTTCGAAGAGGCCTTGCCCACTGGCCCAAAGAGAAGGCCACTTTCACAAGGGCAGCAGCCAGGGTTTCATTGGGGCTCCACGTGGCAGCTGGCTGTGCGAGGAATGTCCGTTTGATCTGACTGACTGACCGCTGCTGGCGTCCCTGCCCAAGAGGGAACCCCACTGTCACTGGTTCGCCCCGTCTCCTCCAACTAGAACTGCTTTTCCGAAGGCCTCCCCCGTACCCCGCACCCCAGAAGACACAGCAGCCGGTACAGAGCTGAGAGCACTTAGAAGGTGTTTAGCCATCCAAACCCACGTGGGGCAGGGGAGCGTGTGCACGCACTGAAACATAATAGAAAGAGTGGGAGTGTTGGTGAGGGAGCCCTCATTTCTGCCCAGCCCTCCCCGCTTCATGAGCGACAGGGACAGGTCAGCTACTGTGGGAGGAGCTATGAGCAGGAGGAAACTGGCTCCCTTGGAAGTAACCGGCAGGGGTCCCTAAGCCATGTCCTGCTTCTGGACTCTGATCCCCACGCTCCCTTTGGAGAACAAGGGAGAAGGAAGGCACTCCGCGGTGGGTCTTGGGAGGGATGAGAACATAGCCGGGAAGAGGCAGGGGGAGTCGAGGGGGAGTCAAGGCAGGGCTATGAGCCTTTGGAAGGGAATGCGGGGAAAGAGGCAATGGGAGCATTTCAAAGGAGCAAGGAGAGGGAGGGAACCAGAGGTTAAGTGGCCCAGTGAGGAAGACAGGGTAAGCAGTGAATGGTCAGACAGAGGGCGGAGAGGAGGGCTGGGGAGGCAGAAGGAAGACTGAGGCAAGCAAGAAACCACCATGAAGAAAGACAAAAGAATGGGGGCTGGTGGGGGCCGAGGCGAAGACCTAATAAGCTATTTCGGTGCTAGGTAATGTGAAAATGGTACAGCTAATAAAAGCCCAAAGTAATCGCTGCGTCGACAGTGTTTACATGCCAGATGCTTTAAACAACCCACCAACTCCATCCATTTGCCTGAGTCCGTGGGAGGACCAGGCCCTGCCAAGACACAGGGATTGATGTAGGCCCACTGCCGACTCTGGGCACCAGGGAGACAAGTGCACTTGTTTGGCCGGGTGGTGTCCACTGTCTGTCACACCCACGCAGGTGGCAAGGGCATGGGAGGGCTCTCCGAGATCCTGGAACTGGGCGTTCTGTCCTACCCGGGCCTTCTGCGGGCATCTTTATTGCAAGGCTAAAAAGCACCTGTTCCTTCTCATCGGTGTGTCTGCAGGACACAAGGGAGTTTACCCAAGCCACCCACAGAGAACAAGGGCTCCTGGGACCAGGACCACGCTGTGGAGGGGCGGAGAACCCGACTCTGCTGGCCCCTGGGCTTCCCACATGCGGGAGCACCCAGGGAGCTGTCCCACCCCACCCAGAGTTCCAGCAGACGGCACTGTTGAAAGCTCTCGCCAGCCAAACGCTCGGCATACCTTGAGAACAGGGACCTTCCAGAGAAAAGCGAGGTCCTGTTGGACCAGCTGAGCTTTCAGAGCCACGTGCCGGGGCTCGCTGCCGTTCAAGCTTCTGGCACCTGCCCCTGTGCACCCATTCCTTCATGCTGTAACCCAAATATCCCAGCCTTATAGACACAGCAGCGCAAAGAAGTTGATTTTAACACTGATGCCCGAGCGACAGTCGCTTTAAGCCATCTCCTCGAGTTACTTCGAAGAGTCTCTGGGAGGGAGGCTGGTCTTACCCATGTTTTGACACCAGCCAGCCCATCTTCTCTGCCTGTGCTCTGTCACCAGCACAGGCCTTCCGCTGACAATGCCTTCCCGATACTGTGAATTCCCTCTGAGCCTGTTTCTCTGCTGGTGGTGACCTGATAGGAAGATTCACCCAGAAACTGAATCTACCCTGCCGCCTATGGGGCAAGGAGTTGATGGAAGAGATGGGAAGGTCTGTGTAGCCCAGGACTTCCCCGGGCACAGCGTGTTCCTCTTCTCCAGCCCCCTTTTTATCAACAGGGCAGGAATGCCATCCTTCCCCTCCACCTCTCTCCTCCTTTTCCATGTTGCGCTTTTCTCCCTCAGCTGAAAATGGCATGAGACCTTCGTGCTTGTAGAACAGACCCAGCAAACGGGCCCGTCGATACGCACTCAGAGACGCAGTCCGCGTTTAGTGAGATCTCACTCATTCTACCAACAAACACGTCCAAAGCACCGTCCAGGGATCAGGTACCACCAGCCTCTGATCCCTCGCATCTCTTGACTCTGTCCTCCCTGTGTCCCAATGCCCTTGTCATGACCTGAATTCAAACTCTCACTGCAAGAACCTCAGAACTGGTTTCTCCTTGTACTGGCTGCCGGCCAGAGAGGTCTTATTAAAATGCAAAGCAAATGACGTCAGGCTCCTATTCCAAATCCTTCAGGAGATCCCCAGCGCTTTCAGGCTTTCCGGCTAGTGTTGAAACTCCCTAGCTGAGCCCCAGAGATGTTTTGCGACAGGGTAGCTGTCCGTCTGTCAAAGATAGGACCCATTCCCACACATCCTTTTAGTTCCAGAGTAAATTAAGCTGTCTCGGGCTTCCATGGTTTGTCCTTCTGTTTGGAATTGCCTTTTCTCCACCTCCCCTCCCTTCAAGACCAACACTGCCCAACGGGACTTTCTGCAATGATGGGAATGTTTCCATCTGCCCAGCACGGTAGCCCCTCGCCTCAGGTGGCTCTTGAGTGCTTGAAATGTGGCTAGTGGATTTTTAAAATCTTGATTTCATCTTCATTCCTTCACATTTAAATATCCGTGTGTGGCAAGTGGCTACTAATTGAATGATGTTCCTAGTCCAGACAGCTCACTTTGAAGGACTCTGCTCAAGGCTCAGAGTTTCCCCCCAGAAGTCATCCCGTCCTCCTGGCTGAATGTAAAGGTTCCTCTTGTGTGTTCCCATGGCTCCCTTGCCCTGCCTTTCCCCCAGGGATCAGAACGCTGTGCTGTAGTCAGTGACTCACTGGCCTGCCGCCTACACCAGTCTGAACTTTTTGGAGGAAATGGACGAGAAGCTCCATCGATAAACAGTTCATAAATGAATGCCGTGGTGCGCTGGTAAATGTTTACCCACCAGCTCTCTGAGAAGCAAGTCCTGAATTGTTGTAGCGTTTGTCAATGTCCACGGTGTCAGTATCCCCTGCCATGGCTGATCCCAACGTACTGAAAGTTGGAAAGAGATGTGTGCGCTTGGCTCTCCCGGGCAAGTAAAAGCCAGTTCCAGCGCGCAGCGGCATGATGGAGTGAAGTGCACCAGGCGTGGAATTCAAAAGAAGTCTTCAGGCAACGGAGAGGGTTGTCTATTCAGGCCTGCCAGAGGGTGGCATGCACCTGCAGGTCTGATTTCAGCTCTTGGCTCAGGAGATACAAGGCCATGGGTCCTTTTTTTTTTTTTTTTACTTTTCCGGGAAAAGGAACCTTTGTTCTCTTTGGTCCTTTACTGTTTGTGGCGAAATGCGTATCATTGTGGGGCCTTTTGCATTGGCTCTTTGGAAAAGCAGCGTGAGAGATTTTGTCCCCTTACGCCCTGAAGGGCTACCCTGGTTTTCTGCGTCAGAGGGCTTACTTTTTCTGACCAGGTCGATTGACATTTCTTGGGTGGCTGTAAATCACTTGTCTCCCCGCCTCCCCCCAATCCCCACCCTAGGCTGTAGCCTGACCTGTGATTCATCTGTTTGCTCTAAACCAGCAGTTCTCAACCTGTGGGTTGAGACCCCTCTGGGGGGTCGAAGGACCCTTTCACAAGGGTCCCCTGATTTATCACAGTAGCAAAATAACAGTGATGAAGTAGCAACAGAAGTAATTTTATACTACAGGTAAGGTCTGCCCAGTCTGAGTGGCCACTGCAATAGATCCTCAAAGCCAGCAGAGAAGTAGAGAGGACCATGGGGAGCCCAGTTGGTATCAAAATTATTGGACAGTTGAAGGGGTGCCTGACCTCCACCTCATAGAAATCAGCTTTAAGTTGATATTGGTCATTCTTTCTCCTCTTCCCAAAGCTGGAGAAGTTCCAAACAAAAACAAACTCGCTGCCATCGAGTTGCTGCTGATTCTTAGCGACCTTACAGGACAGGGTAGAACTGCCCATGTGAGTTCCTGAGATGATAACTTTTTAAGAGGAGAAAGTCCCTTCTTTCTGCCAAGGAGCAGCTGGTGATTTTAAACTGTGGACCTTGGGGATTGAAGCTCAACTCGTAACCACTACACCATT